CAGTGTAATTTGCTTTCCTATAAGAAAGTCGGAAATACAGTGGCTGATTAATACAAAGATACAGAATCATGAAGGTTATTGTTTGTTAGCTGCTACACAAAGCACAAACTAGAACATTAGAAACAGAATTTACAGTTTTGTGAACTGAAAACAGACTGGACAGGTAAGAAGCAATTAAAATAAAGTCACATTCCTGTCAGGCTTTTGTATACAAGTTAAACAAGGAATGGTGCATTAGAACTCAAAGGCTAACTGGCACAAGAAATTAATTTGTTTGTTTGTTTTTCTGTGTTCTGTAGCATTGGAACAAAGTGACTTTGATAAAGTCAGAGGGTGGGAATTTGAGACTGTAAGTAGAAACACTTCTTTATGTACATTTCCTTTTAGATTAAGGAACTGATTCAGGGCCCTCCTGTTTGAGGCATACTGTGCAGGTAATGTCCTATATGGTTATTTACAGATTCTTATACTGTGAATCTTCTGTGAGAGACCATTAGAAGCAGATACAAGCCAGACAGCCAGAGCACTCCCCTGTTCTGGCTTCGCTGCAGCAGAAACTTTGCATCTCTGTTGTATGTACTGCAGCAGCCTTTTCAAGGTTTTTTTTCTCCACCATTTCAGATAATTTATTTAGACTCACTCTCTGATTCAGTGTTCTTCCATTTTTTATCGGCTGTCATGGATGCAGTAAAGGAACAGAACAAGAGATACCAGGCAGAAGTGTTGAACTTGTTGAATCCTATGGCCAGACTCCATTAGTTTTGTATGCTGGCTCACTTCAAATATCACCCCACAAAACACTGACCCTTCACAGGGACCAGCAGTTTATTCCAATGGGCAAGGACTTTATAGAGCTGGGATGTAGCACACAGAACTGTACATTAAAATAATCCTAACTTTGATTCTTTTCCCAAGTGTGAAAAAGCCAGCAGGAATCATACATGCCAAATTTAATGTACAGAAGTACCTTTTTGCCAAGTGTCACATGGCACAAAGCAACTCTGGTGAAGTTAAAACAGCAACATTGCAAAAAGATAACTCTGCTGCAAAATACTTCTTTGTAGTTGTTGTTTCTTTTGTAATAAATAAAAACACCGTGGCATGAAAAACATTTCCACATTTTCATGGGCCATCAAGTTCTTCTCTAGCTGCAACTGCAGAGTTATTTTTTTACTTACATATCTCAATTTCACTTTCTGAAAGGAAATCGTTTTCTCTCTCTCTCTGAGTTTCCATCACATTAGAGTTTTCATCATATCATAACCTTGGAGACACACAACAGAATATGGAAGGAATATAGAGACATGTTTGGAAATACTTTGCTGTGTGGCAGAATGTTGAATGATACGAGGTACTTGGAGATCAACCTTTTACATCAGACACTATCTATTTAAAAAGGGTACCATCCATTCCAGATCGAAAAATTTGAATGCAGTTTTTTATAAACCATTCATTAAAACAACCGAAGAGAGAGGAAGAGGGAAAGTGATTCAGGGAGGTGAAATAATACAGCAACATGAAAGTGTCTACAGTACTGAAATGGAAGGCAGCACATAAAAATTCCAGTAATAATATAAAAACTTCACATCACTGCAAAGTAAGCTGAAAGTGTAAGGGTAGAGGTACCCCCAGCATGTTTTTTTTTAACCAAAGACCACCTTCTCCTAGCACTTCGGTAAGAAAGAAGGAACCAAAAAGGCAAACTGGGAAATTGCCTAGATAAAACTGTTTAGGAAAAGAGAAAATGGAAAGTGAAACAGGCTGTTTTGTATTTTCTTCCTTCTCACTGCCACCAACAAAGAGATACTAGCTCATAACAAAACAGCAATGTAAATGATCTTTATTTTGTCCAACCCTTTGCACTTGATTAATTCTACTCCCTATAAATTGTTAACCCACTTGACTATTACTCATCCCAGGTAGACTGTAAGCTAACACACTACACATTCTGTAAAGTTTTGTGCACACATGCCATCAGATCAGTAATACATAGCACTAATAATAATCACATATAATGCATAATACACATGGTCATCTAAAGAAGAGAAAGTTCTTAAGGGAGATATAAGCCCACATGCCCTTTTTGTTCTAGGAAAACCTCAGCAATGTAGTGTGTGTCCAAGGCATGTTTCCTAGATGTTTCCTAGAGCTCCCTTGAGGACAGCATAGCTTTACACTGGCCACAGTGGAGGCCTGCACCCATAAAGCATAACACAGCCCTCACACAGTACCACTGGAGTGCTGGCATTCACTCTTGTAAAGTAGAAATCTAAACATGAATGAAAAATTTAGAACTTGGTCATATGCCAGGGCTCTAGAGATTTAGCCAAGGTTTCAGGGGTTTAATGTGGTTTTCAGTTGACAGCCCTTATTAAGGGGTTGAACTAGGGATCATTTTCTGTTTCTGAAACATCTGTTGTCCAGTAAAGTCACAATTACACTTAGCTCTTTTCTTGCTTCAGTAACGATTATATAATACAAGAAAGCAATGGCCATTTGAACAAGCAACAGACCAGCAAATGTAAGTTTCTGGATTCACTTCCTGGTGCTTTTACACTTCAGCTACAAATGTAAACATACAAGAACTATGTATATATAAAATATATAAATACTTTTCTTAAACTGTAGCAGATAAATGTCTCAAAGCTGATGGGCAGTTATCTCTAATTTGCAAATGGAATTTGAACTAGATAGCTTAAAGTCAGTTAAAGTATTTTTTCCCTGAAGCATCTGTCAGCTGTGTCTACTACATCATCCACTGGGGTGGCCCAGCTGGCAGTCTGTGCCTGCAGGCTGCTCACACTAAGGTACCTGCCCTTCTCTGAGGCAAGTGGCTGTTGCTGCTGCCATAGTGAGAGGTATTATTTTGTGCCTGCACATGAACCATTGCCATTACTCCATTCATACAGCATTTTAAGACTGACTTTTTCTCTGTTCCAATTTCCAGAAGGTTATGAATTTCCATGATTTCTTGTTCTCTTGAACCTCCCGAAGGCCACAAGTCCAGAATACAAGCATAAGCAGACAGCGCACTACTCTGCTGCCTACTTTTCAATGCCAAGCTGAAAAAATGTTCTGAAGGACACTAATTTCCTGTATCATAAACAAGACTGAGCCTTGCTTCCTAAATGAGAGTGGATGCCCAGAGAATCAGATGTGACTGCCCCTAAATATTTTCTGATATCATTTCCAGCTTCCATAAGCTGCATTTATGACAAATCAACTTAAATCAAACTGACCTGACATCGCTTGCAAGGAATTATCCTGCTGCGAGACAGATGATTGATTTCTTTTCTCCATTTCAAAGTGGTAACATGAACTACTACAACATGCAATGAATGTCATGAAGCTGCTCCACACAAAAACAACATATTGTCCATAAAAACACATGAATTTAAAGAGGAAATTTGCTACACATGGTTTCCATCATCCTGTATACTGCTGGTCAGAGCATACTTATTTACCCTTACATAAACACTTTGCAATAACGCGCATAGTTCATATATTCCATGGGTAATTGACTGTTAACTGTTTCTTACCAAAATCAGAGACAGGTTCAGTGATACTCCACAGGGAGAAAAATGATGATAAAGAAACCATCTTTTAGACTCTTCTCCTCACCCCTACTCCCAAAAATAAGTACAATGTGCTAAGCAAAGTAGGAGCTGATGTTTTACAAAAATAGGTTTACAACACTCCCCAGGAGCTCTTCCACACACATTTGACAGATAATAAAACTAAGGCACCAGCAAAATAAATGACATGTCCACTCAGTCAGGAACAGCAGCCTGGGTTTAATCCACCTACTGAAAGCACCAATGAACGCTAATGTAAATAGGATGGGTCAAATTCCTAAACATAATAAAAGTTAAGTAAAACTGGGTTTCATTGAAACCCATATCCTTCTGACAGTTTCCCCAGCAACAAAGAAACAAAATCCAGTTCTGCTTGCACAGACAAGCACTTTCTCTTTTTGTATTTAAGTTTAGAATCTAAACATTTTGGAGTGGAGAAATGAGCAGCTGAATAAACTGATACATTTCTCTGTAACATGTAGTATTTTCATAATCTAGGTTTTGGGGAATTTTTACTCTCTGTTTTTAGGACGTGTTTCTGGGTTTTAGTGCGAAATCAAATGGATCCACGAATAATAACAGACTCCATATTCTTTTGAGTGGCAGGGAGTTTTAATCATAGTTATCATTATCAGACTAATGTATGAGCACTTAAAGATGAACTAAAACTAGTCACATTATACTGGGCACTACTAACTCATCTTTCATATTATCATTTACACTATTATTATATTCTGTTTATATTATAATATTACACATCTGTACTACACATAAAAGAATATTACAAGTGTATTGAAACCTTGATTTTTGCAAAAAAATTAAATATGGGCCTAAAGAAAATACCAGCATATGAAATATCCTCTAGACCACAGAGGCAAATGTGTGTAAGGCTTTGCATAGGATCCACAGTTGCACAGTCATGCTCATGGAAGGGAAGTAATACTGGAATTAGATTTAGAGGTGAAACTTCACAGTAACATGCACAGCTAAATAGGTCAGGTCTACAGAATGCAGCCTACCTCACCCACACACTGTCCAGGCTTTGAGCCATCATGCAAAAAGCCATATTCATTCAGTGCTTTCCAAAGGTTCATTGACTGGTCAAATCAAAACCAGCTCTGTCATAACACTTATGCATTTTTCATAAATGAGTTCTTTGGTCACAATCAGTTCTCCCTCACAGGGGCAGACTACAAGCAATAGCTACAAACAGTAAACTACAGAACACCTTTGGAAAATGTCTCTTCTCCTGTACTAATTCTCTTTGTTTTACTTTTTCTGCATTTTTATAGTATACTCATCACAGCGCAATATGAACATTTCACAAACACGTAAAATCTCTATAGTAGTTAACTTCTTTTGCAGGGATTTTCCTTTGTATTAAGCTTATTTTTATCAGTAACAAGGAGGCCCCAGACGGCTTACCAGGGATAGGATAGTGACAGTGAAGTTACATTTTGTCCAGGTGACTTGTAATTGTTCTGTTCTGAGATCTTCCCAGGAAGAGCTGCAAATCTGGGGACCAATGCTCAGCAAATGCAGCCTGGAGAAGTTTCACCTCGTCCCAGCGGAAGACAGCTGTCAAAGGAGTTAAGACATGCAGGGTTAGGGAAGTCTGGGTCTGATTTGGGGCAGTTAGCTCCTTTAGGGACTATTTTTTTCCATTTTACTATGCTCCAATTCAAAGCAGCACAGATAACTTGAGCAAGGGATACTGAGTGGTCCATTTTCTCCCGTTAAAATAGCTGTTTTCTTTCAAACCCTCTGCAGCCTTTCTAAAGTCAGTACTTTCACCCACTAGCATACTCTTAGATTAAAAAAGCCTGGAAGTCACTACTGTGCATTCTGATAGTCAGTGACTGCAATATCTTGTTCAAATCCAGGTAGAGGACATTTCTGTAGTTGTGGACCTTTGGGAACAGAGAATAGTCCAAAAGGTAAATAAACAATATGCTATTCTTTAAACGTGCCATTGTACAGTAATAAGTCCACATCCTGAATATTCTTTCTGCAGAGAACTGAAGGCCTATAGTAAAAGGAAAATTCCTTTGTTGGAGAAATAAAGAAACCTGAGGAAAGGTAAATTAAAACTCCCAAAACATCAGAGCTGAAATATTCGAGTATAAATTTAAGAGGCAATCGATAAAATCTTAGCAACTGCATATTGATGAGGAAAGGTGAGAAAGATGCATTGTTCACTTTTTAAGAATAATATTGACACTTCAATTTTTACCATACCCATGAAATTACAGTAGCTATTTACCTATCTACCTTTTTTTTGGCCCTATCAGCTATACATTTCATCTTTCTCTCTGCTGTCCTGAGCAATAGTAGAACGTTTTATAATCTAGAGAATGTGGGAGCTGAGGGCAATGGCAACCAACAGCTTCTCCCATTAACTTAATTCTTAAAAGTCACTCTTAAGATGATCCGTCAAAATATGCACTTCAGACCATATGTGTACTGTATGCCACATCTGACTTAAAGTGTAAACTTTAAAAGGAACAAGTAGCTGTTTAAAGACCTTAAAAACATCCTTATACATCAGTGAAAAAAACAAGGAAATATCTGTAGATTCAAGAGCCTTCACATCTTCAAAACCAGCATCCGTAAGCATACTCTGCTTTCTACACAGTCATGGAAGATTAAGCTCATGTCGCAAACCACTGTGCAAAGCCAAGAATAGAAGATTAGTAACATTTCCTTTCCTCTTTCTTGTTATATGTGATTTTATGTTTTTCACATTATTCTGATATTTCTGGTAACAGAACTATGAAAATACTGCTGCAGGAGACACCAGTAAACTATCTAGTCTATATTTCTGCCCGACAGCAGGATCAACTGTAATTCTTTCTGACAGATATTTTCATAACTTCTTCTTCATAATGGAACATGCCCTTGAAATTTACATTGCATTCAGTGGAGGATTTCCTGTTTATAAATAAAATCTGTATCATGGGAACAGTGCTCAGCAGAATGTTAGGCTTACAAAGATATAAAAGAAGTCACAGAAAATTTATGTACTCTGGGCCAAATCAACCACTAGTAGAAAGGTTAATCAGGGTTAGGTCCACCTCCATAATTAATTAGTCTATGTCCCCTATACAAAACATTGAGAGTTTTACCCTTTAATGAGGAGCCTGCATGATTAGTATACTGTGTTGCTTTACACATGCCAAATGTGATTTTAAACAGCCACTGTACTTGAATTACTGATGAAACAACCCTACTATAAGAGTTCAATGTTTCACTTAAGTCAAGGAGCTTTCTTATCAACTTCCCAACAACCAGAGAAACTACAGCCAACAAGACTTGATCTTCACTCTCCAAAGCACTTTTCCTCCACATTTGCACCAAGTTTAACAACACTATGAGTAAATGCCTTTGCATGGTGTATTTATCCCTGGATTCTGAGAGCCTTTCAGACATGGACTATTAACCAGTAACTATTTATGGTTGGTTTGTTTGAGATGGTTTCATTTTGGTTTTAAATTTTCAGTGTCACTCTAAATGTAACCACAGGAACTATCAATTTCTGCTCAACAAAGGATGAATGCTTAGTCCAAGAGCTCATAAAACATCTCTGGAAGACACAAGAAAGCAGGTAGCTGAAAGAGCATCTTATTGCAGTGCATTTCCTTTGTATGGGGATGACCTTTAACACTCCCTACAGCATTTTCAAGGCCCATCTTCCATGGTGTGACTCTAGGGTTGCTCAGTGCAACTTATTACAGCTTGGGACTGTATCATGTTGGGACTGGCACTGTTCAACATCTTTGTTGGTGACATGGGCAGTGGGATTGAGTGCACCCTTAGCAAGTTTGCAGTGTTCGGGATTTTAGGGGGTAGTGTTTTTTGATAGACAGAACTTACCTACAATACTTGAATGGTTAGAGAAGGTCATCAGATCCTTCTCTACACTAGCCAGCATGTGCTGTTCAATAGTTAATGAATCCTGAAGAACATTCAACCATGATGCTCAAAAGAAATCTCTATCCTACTGTTAAGCAGGATGCTGTTTATCAGTCTGTACATTGAAATAGATGTTGTACAAATGAAATTCACAGCATCAGCAATAATGAATCAGATGCTTAAAAAGCTCATCAAAGCAAGATGGGCACCTCCAATTCCCAATCAGAAAGGCGCACTAAACCACTTACAGAAAGACATTTCCATTTCCAAGACATTTTAGTGAATTCATGCCTGCTCCTGGCTGCATTTCAATGAAGATAAAAATAAAATGACATGTACACTACACCAGCTCCACAGTAGGAGCACTTCCATGACTGGGAATAGTAGAGACAATTACTGAATCAGAACTTCTCAAAGACTTCTGCAGAGTCAGCAGAGCACAAAGCAGATGTTGCTGCTGACAGGACAGAAACTAAATTTGCAAGAAGTCTACTTGGAGTTGGAAGAGAAGAAGGGAAAAAAGAGAAAAGGAATGTGATCACCACAAGCCCACAAATTTTACAAGTCTTTTCAAGCAAATTTCAAAGCTGTAATGGAAGGATAATTTTAAAACCAACCACCACCAGTACAGAAGCAGAGTTTTGTTGTGATTATAAATAATCCTTAGCAACAGAAATATATCACTCATCTGCGTAAGTCCGTAACATAGTGTAGCCCTTCCAGCTTCAGGTGACTGTCACTCTCAAAAGGATATGAGCCACTGCCCAGCATGACCAGCCTTTACTCACTTTTCTACTGCTACTACTGGCAACTCTTACTATGGTATCACAAAATCCGATAGTACTTCTTGCTCTTCTCAAAGCTTCAGGTTAAGAGTTTTAACTTTCATTTAAAAGATGTTTCTGTCCCTCACAGTTGCAGAAAGACAACAGAGAACACACTTAACAGTCTTAAAGATGAAAACCAAGAACACACAAAGATTCTCCTTTTAGAAACAAAATGCCCCAATAATTTTTTTAGACTTCTACTCATGATTTAGAAATAAATGGAGACAAATATTCACTTACAAATGGAAAGCAGATGTAGGCATATGCTTATTTAACCAACCTGTAGCTACAAATTCATGACGATTTCTTTTCTTGACAAGATTTCTTCCTCTAACATCAGTATTTGAAGGAAACTGTACTGTTTATTTCAGGGAAAGGAAAAGCAGGGTCATTGGTGACTAGTATCAGTCACTACCAGTGAAGGCTTAATGAAATTTTTCACTATGCAAGAGCTTCTTTACCATGATTGTTAAAATAAAGGTCAGAGTAAGTGAAGAATCCAAACAAAGGCATGCGAACAGGATGGACAGTTTATCTACTGACAAAACTCATCACTGAAAGAAAATTCTGCAGCATTAACTAAGGGTTAGCTTGGAGTAATGCAGAACCAAAACACAGACAAAATCTCACCTACACTGTGACAGTGAGCACTGCAGTGCAAACATTGTAAAAAAACCTTGTCAGTGTATATGTCTGCTGCAGCCCTTTGAAGCAAAATGTATGTGACCGTCAGTGTGCTATTGAAATCTTCTTTGCTTAATCTGAATAAAATTGCATATGTGAAAGAGAAAGTGTAGGGCACCGTCTTCTAGGAGAGGATTTTATCTGTCAGGAATTACTCCAGTGTATCAGAGACACTGTGTAAAAAGAGATTTCAATGTAATTATTCTTATATAAACTTGATAAAATGATGTGGAACACTGAAAAAGTGCAAAGAAAAGACCTGCATGAAAAGTGTGAGACATTTTTTATAAGAACTATCATTCCACTTTCTCTAGACAACTCAGATTGATAGTAATACAAGATCTTGTATACATACTATTATCATAATAACATTCCAAGAATATCTCTTTGTGTTTTGTATAATATCCCTATTACAATTAAAAAAAAAACAATAAAATAAAATACAAACAAATGATAAATTGTATTCAACAAGAATGATAAATGCATTAATAAACAAATTCTGCCTGTATGATGTAGGCAAGCAAATTTGTGCCCATAAGAATAGCCAGAAATACTGTCTTGCACATGCGGTCTCATACAAAACTTTCTGAATCACAGTGCTACCAGGGTTAGTGACCTCACACGATGGCCATGCCTAAGATCTGACTACATGTTGGGACCAAAGCATGTGGGACCAACCATATGGATTTTAACTATGGATGTATGCAAGATTTTAACTCCATCAAGGGAAATAATTTTGTTACAGTTCTGTTATTTATTTATGTTTTATTTCCCTCATTATAGGTATGAATCCATGCTGTCATACTTAAACCTATTCTCTCTCACTTGTACAATATTCTAAACCCTCTACACAAAGTTACCTCTAACAATCCCCAACTACTGCAACTGAATGCTCATTGAGGAAACACTGAATAACAGTTACTTAAGATCAGTTTAAGACTGGATCAGTTTAAGCAGCTTACAGCTGGTGGAGGAGGGCAAAAGGGAGAGAGCGAGAGGGACTGACCTTTTTCGTTCTGTTTCTGTTACACTGGCCAGATCAGCCTATTTTGAAACATGTCACCACAAAGCAGTGAGGTACTGCCATCTCTGTGTGGAGGACTGTTTCACAGCATAACCCAGAATCCTTTCTGTCATTAAGCCTGGTAAGATTAC